TTAATACAATAGGATATTGGCTATGTAATAGTATACATGTGATTACATGTTATGAAAATGGAAAATAAAAAAGTATATTTTAAAAAGCAAGCATCCATGACTGTCCCAGTGACATTTGACATTTGAAGAGGGTGGAGCTCTTTGGTTCTCCAGCGCTAACTTCTGGACAGAATTGCAGTTAATCAGAATCAGCAAACCCCAGTCATGGCAGCATCTCAGCCAAAAGGATGCTATGGCCAGTCGTATGTAGCCATAAGAATAAGAATGTCCTAAGAATAAGCAATGACATTTCCAATCATAGGTCATTGAGGCCTTGAGCAGAGTCTCATATCCCAGCTGAGAGCTCAACTTATGTCTGTGGTTGGTGGCTAATTTATGGGGCAGGTTCTTTGATGAAGGCATGAACCATGTCTTCATTTTCCACCCACATTGCTCTTCCTTCTTCTTTGTTTTCTAGGTTGGCAATTTATCTGATGAAAGCAAAAGATGAAGTGGAGGCAGGGATGGGCAGACACTAGCAATTTGGGGACAGATAGAAAAACAGAATAAGCTATTGGCAGACTCCCCTCATCCGAACATAACACTAAGAACGGATGACATTTTAAAAGTCATTTTGCCTTATATTCATTCCCTATGAACACATTTATTGTTCAGGGTGATTGAAGGTGCCAGCAGGGGCCCAGAGCCACTGGCTGTAGGGCAGTGTACAAATTTAATTAAAGAAGGAATAAGGAATCCTGGCTCACTATTCCAGATAGGATTCTCATACCATGAAATTTGAAAGACTTCCTGCCTAGCTAATTATAAGAAATATAACCACGTTTGCCCATTAACAAATGCACGAAACAAGTTAAATGAATAACATTTGCACCTAAAAATGAATTTCCTATCCTTATTGCCCCACGCTTCAAATCAGTAAAGATAGAAGCTCAGAATATAGCAAAACATACATAACATCAAACAATTTTTTTACGTAAGTAAATGAAAAGGTCAAAAAAATGAGGAACAGTCTTGAGATTTCTGAATTTTATGTACCAGGGATGCCATATATTTGATTATCACAGTGAGTCTCAGGGGATCAAAAGTATTTTCAATAAGAGCAGAAATGCAGCTTTTCTGAATGTTGTTGCTGTCAAACTATTTGGAGGGTTTGCAGCGACTTCTGTTCAAGAGAATAATTTGACAATACAATATTGATGATGGAATGCTACAAGAGTAGATTATATGATTAAAATGTAGTGTATTTGTTGCATCAAGGAACAGGGCCATAGGAAACTGGGTTTGTCACACGGTTGCTATGAGTTAAATATAAAATGTCTGTGAAAATGTAAAAGTATTTCATTTCCCCGCTTGATTTCTTTCTTAATGTCACTCTTTTTTTCCCTCTCTTCTTCCATTGGCAGATATGATTTTATTGAAATACGGGACGGGGATAATGAAAATGCAGATCTTCTGGGAAAACACTGTGGAAACATTGCTCCACCTACAATCACTTCATCTGGCCCTTCGGTGTATATCAAATTCACCTCAGATTATGCCCGTCAAGGTGCTGGCTTCTCTCTGCGTTATGAGATCTACAAGACTGGTTAGTTTTTATCTGCTTTCCCAACCAAATCCTTAGGCCTCTTCCAGTTGGGGCAATATTTCTATCTATCTGTCTGTCTGTCTGTCTGTCTGTCTGTCTGTCTGTCTGTCTGTCTGTCTGTCTGTCTGTCTGTCTGTCTGTCTATCTATCTATCT